TTACCTTTTGTATAGGTTTCCTACTCGTATTAGGAGTCCCGTCCTGTCTATATATACGGTTGTACTCCTGCACATTTAATTTTTGAAAATATTCATTCTTCATGTAACATTGTGATATAGATTGCGTTTGAAATATAGATTGTTTAATTACTTTTTTATAATTCTACATGATCTAAGATGTTATAATATAGAAATAACATATATTGACCGACCTAGATACTCATTTAAATTTATAAATTAGGAGTAAATTTTAAATAACTCCTAGTAGTGAATGTATTTCTTTTTTTTGTTTTATCATTTTTTTGGTTTGACGTTTCCTAAATGTGTTCTTCGGGTACATATGTAACTACATTACATCGTGCACTTGGAGAACCATTGGGAAATGCTGCCGAAATTTTGATAGATCAAAGAAAATGAAATGCATTTACTAGTGAGGGTCACATTTCAAGAATCGGTTAGGGGCTTTTGCATCGGTTGTTAGCTAACAACCGATTCAAAAGCCCCTTCCCAGAAGTGGCGCCATTTCTGGGAAGGGGCCTTTGAACCGGTTGTTAGCTAACAACCGATGCAAAAGCTCCTTCCCAGAAATGGCGCCACTTCTGGGAAGGGGCTTTTGAATCGATTGACAAGTGATGCAAAAAGTAAACTCAGCAATTGAACCACAAGTATTTGCATCGGTTTCCAATCGATTTAAAAGAGTAAAAATGACCCATTTGAAAGGCTTTTTTGTAGTAGTGAACACTTCTTCGTGAGGCGCTACACTTAGTCTTACACATAAGAGTAATAAAAACTCAGTAATACAAATCACACCATTCTTTATACTCCCTCCGTCCCGCTATATTCGTCCACTTTTGACTTTTGGAACTGTTCGTCTAAACATTTTGAATCATCAAATTTTCTCAATGTGTAAGTCTAAATATAGTCATGTATGATCTTGTTTGATTTGTCTTAACATATAGATTATTAATATATAATTTCTATAATTTTTTAATATACAAATTACAAGATAAAATAGATTAAAGAAGTGTATTGGATGGTGTGCAAAAATGAAAGTGGATAAATATAGTGGGACGGAGGAAGTAGATGGTAATTTCAAGCTAGCCAACACATTGAACAATCAAACCGTCCAATCTAATTTAATGGATGAAAATTCAAAAAAAAGATGATCCATGAATTGATGATGGACTGGGTCAAATGTGGGTGGAGGTTCTTTTCACCCGCCACCCGACCCATCACTCGATCCAATCATATTAATTTAAAAAATTATGAAGCATATTAAAACTAGAAATTATTGTAGCTTTGTTAGGAAACTTTGTTAAAAGTTATAGCTTGGTCGGATTTATTATAAGGAAGCCCTATGTTCCATTTATTTATGATATTGATAAGTCTGTTTTGTACGCACTTATCTTCTCTATATTTAATGTGTTGTTGTCTAATTTTGGATCAAACAAATCAATTTCTCAATGATTTTTATAAGTTTTTATTTATAATTGAAAAAGTGTACACAAATTATGTCTGATTTTAAATAGAATAAAAATTGAGTCAAAATTGGTACAAAAAGTGTAAAAGATTGTGCAAATGGAATGCAACAGGACAAAAAGGCAATAGATGTGAAAATCCATGAAGTGAAAAATGTGCATTCAAATATGGTGATGCACCCTGTCAAAAGATTTGAGGTCAAACGAATTAAAAAAATACCAAAAAGGAAATTGTTTGAAAAGAAAAAGTAAAAAATTGTTGGTTCAATTCAAAATTAATTTGTTTACCCAAATTGGTTCGGAATTTGAAGTCAGAGCAGAAGAAAAAGTTGTTCAGAATAAAATTTTAAGCAAGACTGTATTTTTATCGCCGGATTCGCAGCGCAGCCATTTCCACCTCGTGGAAATGGCTACCACGTGGTGCAACCTGGTTGGCCGGCCAACTGTGGCAGCAGCAGCAAAGAGAAGAAAAGCAAGTGGGCTGGCCGTCATTCCCATCATCATCACATAAAGTCAATCATAAAAAAAGAACAAAAAAAGAAAAGAAAGAAGCCAAGTCTCATGATTTCCATCGCCGGATTCGCAGCGCAGCCATTTCCACCTCAATCCAGGCGTGCGTTTGGACCTCAGGCCCACGCCTGTCAGAGGCCTGGACTGAAATTTTCTCCTATAAAAAGAGGGCTTCGCCCCTTCATTCAAATTAAGCCTTCTTCCGGGGTCTTTAAGGCCCGGAACTCCATTCTCCACTCTTTTCTCAGTTATATTTTAATATTTGAGTTTAGTTTTGTTCTGGTTGTCCCAAAGTGGCTCCGACTCTGCTCTCGGTTGTAAGTTTATTTTTACAACTTTTAATAAAATGTTCTTTTCTTTTATGCACTGTTGATATCTAGTATGGGTTAGGGCCCAGATTAGGAACCTAGCTAAATTTGGCATATACTTTGTATGTTTATTTAATAGTTGGAATAATTGTTCTAGAATTATTTTTATTGTTAAATTAATTAGTTATGTCGAGAGAAAAATTAATTAATTATTGGAAATTATTTTTTGCCTTGTCTATGAGGATAATTTTAATTAATTCGGTTTGAAAAATCTTGTGTAATTACAACGGAACTCTCTCCTATTCAATTACTTTATAAACACTGTCTTTATAATAATAAGGTTAATAACTAATTTATACACTGTTGTCATCAATTGAGTCTACTACGGAACCGGGCTTCAGATCAGGATATGGGCATGATAATATTTTCTTTTTCTCAAAAAGCATCGAGTAGTTAGTTTATTATTATTTTTAAATCCAATCGAGAAGACTTTCAGACTTGTCCAAACCTTCATCTAGTTAGAAAAATTAGCTAATTCCCTTCGTCCACTCCTCGAGAGACACGACACTTGGAGAAAACTAACCGTTCATTGGAAAAGTTGACTTACCGAAAAACAAAATCATCAGATATACCATTGCAACGTTTGGAAGGTTCCCAAGCACGTGTATGGGTTTTGCCCTAGGTTTTGAACTTTAAAAGTTTATTTTTTAAAGAAGATTTCATCTTATCATAATTAAACTCTCCTCTTCCTAAATTATTACCTATGTTCTATGCTTTATAGTTTGTTTTTTTTGTTCTACCTACATTTTAATGACATTGATTACCAAAAACAATTATTACTTGTTTAATCCACTCGCGAGTGGTTGGTGAATGAGGTAATGACTGTTGACAATGTATGTAACGGATGATGGATGAATCAAGTTATTGGTGTATGCTTAATGTATGGATGATGGTGAAGCTCTACCCTACCAAAACCTGACTTGTTACCGTCTCTATCATTCTTTGTTTAAAGTTAACCAAACTTCGAGTAATGAACTTTTACCCTTTTTGTTGGATGGAGAGTGAAAATGAGAGGAAAGAAAATAGAGAGAAAATGAAGAGAGATAAATTAGTGTTGGATTGATAGAAAATAAATGATGATAAGAAAGTGAAGAGAAAAAAGAGATGAAAAGCACAAAAGATAAGAATCTTGTGGTGGGAGGAAGATGATTTAATTTTCACACCTATGCTCAAGGATGATAATTTCTACCCAACCTAAAGGATATCTATCCTACCCAACTTGCTATAACCGATAAAAATCCAAAATAATATGGATGATAATGGATTATGGATGAACCACATGATGGATTAGATCGGATGCATGTAAAGTTTTTATCACCTGGCACATTACTCGTCACCCGATCTATCCATAGCTATGTTTGGTGCAATTCTTAACCTATAGGGGTGTTACAATAGCTACTAAACTTATGGTATATTTATATGTCTACCTTATTTAATTAACGCTTGATTCTTATCTCGTTATTTAATAAATGAGAAGGTTCTTTGTAATTCAGAAATATCTAATATAAAGAAGTTTATCATATTACTAATTTATATCTAGACAAAGTAGGGGTGAGTATGGTACGGTATTTAGCTCGTACCGATACCGTACCAAATATTTCGGTTCGGTATGAGATTTTACTCCGTACCGATCCCGAAATATCGGTTCGGTATGGTTCGGGATGGTTCGGTATCAGTTTCAGTACAAATCGGGATGAATATACATACCTACTTTACACCTTAAAATTTAACAATGCCCCTTTATTTTTGAAAATTAAAAGTGAATTTAAATAAAAAACATGAAAAATTAAAAAAAATGAATATTTAAATGCAAGAGATACGTATCAAAACTTAGTTTATATTTCACAAACTAAAAAAATTAACGAAAACAAAGGAGTATTTTGAATCTTTGTGAATACTTTTATGTTCATACACAAAAACTAAAACTCAAATAAAAATATAATTTACACATAATAGAACTTGAACCAATTATTTTTTTAAAAAATTATTATTTGGTGAAGGAATATAAAAATATTACTCCAGGGTATTATTTTTATAATATTTTAGTATATATGTTCGGTTCGGGAATTTCGGTATGGGACGTCACCTCGTACCGTTCCCAAATACCGTACCGACCATTCGGTTCGGTATGGTTCGGTTTCTTCTCGGTACTTTTTCGGTTCGGTATTCTCGGTTTTTTCGGGAAATTTCGGTATCGATTCGGTACTTTCTCACCCCTAAGACAAAGTATGTGAGAGAGTTGACACTACAAGAAAAGGTGTTGTTTGCAATTTATGTAAACATCACAAAAATACATTTTCCAATTTATTTAATCAATACTCGAGGATAAGTAGGTGTTGGTGTGATGTTTCATATCCCCACTTATTCTCCAAAAGGTGAAATCGCTCACCCCGGGCGCCTCTCACCCCCGACCCGACGGGGATGTGAGAGGAGGTAAATCAATGTGACCCAAGCACAACACTTAGTTAGACCATATCCTAATTCAGAGACTCCCCCCATTTTACGGAGGTAGTCGCCTCCACAACGATCGCTGCCAAGTTTCGATCCTTGGTCATTCTCCAAACTTCACCATCCTTGCCAGTTGGGCTACCTGTGCCCGTTCATATCCCCACTTATCTAACTTCAACCGGCCGTCCAACCAATCGTACTCATATTCGATCGACTCGGTAGTTCGAACACACCGATACGATCAGATCTCACTCGGCGTTCTTCCCGCAGCACATGGATGATCTGAAAATCGAAAATTGAATTTCTATATTTGATTCCTCAGACACAATAACAAGGAGGACAACAAAGGGAATGCGACGGTGCCGAGACTATGGTTCAAAACCCTAGCTCCTGCCTACCATCGCTATTTGAGGCACAAAGGAAGATGCAGATGCAATGATGAAGGAGGAACGGAATTGGTGATGGTTCGAAGCAGCTGACACTGACAAAAAACGTGCAACGAGAATGGACATAACGAAGCCAAGTTCAGTGTCCATAAAATTTTAGAAGGTATAATCTCTAAATCCCTTGTTGTTCTTCAATATCCTCTTTGTTTATGTGTTGGTTTCATGTTTATTCTTATATTAACTTCTGGTAGTATTGAGTATGTTAAAGTGCTTGAACAAATCAAAAAATATAATTAATCCTGTAAAATGAAAGACTTTAATTTGTTTCTGTATTGAATCAAATACACTTTATGATTTGGTGTTATATGTTATGTTTATGATTCTAGAAAAATTTGATGTTTTAGGCACTCCGTATTTGATCACTTTGGAGGATGATTCTGAATTCTTACTTAATAGGGGCAGTTTATACTCTCTATAAGGCAGTTCAATTAGAAAATCTCAAATTTTAGTTTGTGGCTTTCGTATAGTTTTGTTCATACAGTTCATGTAAATTCAGAAAATAAGAGTTTTTTTGTTTCGGGTACTACTCTTTTTTTAAAAAAAGTTTATCAATTTAACTGAATACTTGATCAAATAGAGTTATCAATTTTATATTATTCAACTTTTGACTACTTTAAAAGTCATTTTTGTATATATGCGGGCTGTGCGTATATTTTCTCTGAAAGTACATATCTATATCCTATGCGTTGTGGATGCAAGTAAATGCATGAGATGTAATCATCCTCGAGGGAAAACTAATTTTTCATGACTCGCAGGTCCATGATTTGATGAACTTCTCATCTCCTTATTCAGACTCTAAAGTAAACACACACAATTGTTCAGTTTGACAACACCCTCGTAATGGTGCAGGGATATCATGATGCCAAATTAGGATGCTAGTGACTGTATACAAACATCTGATGAGGCAAATCCGTTAGCATCACATCTTGACCACAGCACAATCAACACTTTGCCCCGGCCAAGTGAAGTGGATTTCATCATTGCTTGTCCTCCAGCCCTCCTTGTCAGGTATGATATATATTCCTTTGCCATTGATAGTAAAGTTCACTATTTAATTGCTACGGAGCAATTATTTTAAAAAATCCATCTGAGCTTCTCTTTGTCTGCAGGGGTTTTCTTTATTGACAGGCACAATTAGAGTTCAGTGAGTGATGTTCGATGCATAATGATCTTGTCGCTTTATCCTTTGTTGAGTACTTCAGGCCCAAGTTTCTGCTCATTGGAAACGCCAGGAATCTCGTTTCATTTGATAATATGAAGCCATTTCAGCTAATTATATCTTCACTTCTTGAAATGGGTTATCAGGTATGTAGATATAATCATATAATGTACACCAATCTTAAAAAGAGATTCTAGTGTCAAAGTGTCTTTGTCCAGAAAATAAAGTATTAAACTACTTTTTAGTGTAATATGTTGTACAAAAAGACACAGTCACGTTACATATGCTAAATTTAGTCAAACAATAACTAATTTTTTTCAAAAACATTTGTAGGGTTCATGATTCACATAAACAACCTGTTTTTTTCCTTGAAAAGAAATACTCATTTACGTTTATGGTTAAGTATTAATCATACAAACTTATAAAGCATTAGAGTGCTCTTCCCATAGAAAAGTGTGTGGGTGTGTATTTGTACTGTGCGTGCATATCTGGATTCTGGTGCAACTTCAACCTGACTAGAGTTCCTTTTTTCTTTCTTTATGTGCGGGCAGGTGAGGTTTGGAGTACTCCAAGAAGCGGTATTCTATGGTGTAGCACAATTTGGGACTAGTGACTATATTTTGGTTCTAAATATAACAAAACAACACCCACTGCAATAGCTTGGAGTTGAGGCAATTTTGGCAACACTACTCCGTACATTTTTTCTTCCTCTATGACAATGCTGACCATTGCAACAATATGTTTGGAGCAACTATTGGCATTGGGTCACAGTTTTATGAAGTTTGGAGTTAAGATTCTTTGTTTTGGTCATTGATTTTTGGCTTAAGAATACAATGCAGTATATGTCTTTTGTGTTTAGCTTTAATTCTATTGTTGGTTTAGGACATTACATTGAAGGTCAAGGCACATTTGCAGTCACAGTTAATTTTAGATTAGATTTGGTTCTAAGTTTGCTTGGTGTAATTTGTATATCTTTTCGAGGGGCTTTGGTTCGGTCCTTCCCTTTTAATACACTATTTAAATATAATAAACTCCTTTTTTCTTAATTATATTTGTAAGAGTGTACATATATAATTTGGGGCTTTTTCCCATTTTATGAAGAAATCAGTTTTTTAAAATACATATGCAAAAAAATAACCAAAATTACCGACAATATTAGTTGAAGCCGCATATCTAAGTGTAGATACAAGCCCTTAATCGTTTACAACGGAATGTTGTTCCCCGCATTTGTAAGTGTGGCGTTGTAGCAACACATATAAGTGTGGCTAGTATGTTCATTAGCAGCACTTATTAGAAGTGCGGCAAATATTTCCCCTATTGTGTGGCAAAAAAAGCCCCTGCACTTATATATGCGGCGAACAACAAATTTAAGTGCGGTAGACCACATCTCTCGTAGTGTGATATAATGTGCTAGTTCAGCACTTAAAAGTCATATCGATCCCCATCAACCTTGTTATGCCCCAAATTGGTAGTGACGAACCTATTGAAAACCCAAGGTTGATCCGTAGATAATTGAATGAGTGAACTAGACCACGTATTGTATGGGCTTGGAAGAAGTCTGCAAGGCTCCTAAGCAAATATTTAAAGAGAGAAGGCAATGGTCCAAGCTCATAGTCGAGTTTAGCATGGTCAGCTATCAACACACTAGGGAGAGAGTTGAGCAAGGCAGGCCATCTGCACACCAGGTAGAAGGTTTGACATAGTCGGCCATCAGCACACGAGCGAGAGAGTTTGGCATGGTCAACCATCACCGTCCATCAGTACACCACGGAGAGAGTTTGGCATGTTCGACCATCAACATATTAGGGAGAGAGTTTGGTATGGTCGACCATCAACACACCAGTTATAGAGTTGGCGTGGTCAGCCATGTGATGAGCTCGACACCCATTTGCTCTTATGCTTGGATTATGTCAAGGGTCATCACATGCCCCACCCCATGGTCAAGTCCTTAGGAATTGAACCACGAGTTCACTCCTGCCATGGGTACAATCCCCAACTATGATGAGAAAGGGACATATCATTGTATATGACAAACATAATTAATGAACCTAGATGTTGTAACCTAGATTGGTTAGGTTGTGGTCCACTACTTATACAGTATGAATAGACCTTCATGTTCAACAGAGAGGTGGATGGATCAGATCGGATCATAAGTACACCATTGCTAATATATTAAGCTTTTCTCTATAATTTACTACCCCGTAGTCTAGAATCCACCAGTGTGCATACTAGTCCCCTATTGCTATGCGATATTCTATATTTCATTTGTCACATAAAAAATGTGTTTCATGAACACATTAAGCATGTTACTAGAGATTAATTATGACTTTATATATCAGAGAAGAAGCCATTAACGATTTCATACATGTAAAACACGTCTCTTCTTATCTTGGTTGATTTTTCACTAAATCACTCACCTCTTAGCATTTTCAGTGGCTCATTTCCAAGCCCCCCCCTTACGTTTGCACAGTCTAGCTTAACAGAGATGCTAGACATATACTCACTCGATCCCATAATCAAAGTCACACTTGGACTTCACACAAATTAAGGTAAATTTTAAAAGGAGTTTGACATTCAAATTTTGTCCTTAAATGACATTGACATGATAGTGCGAAAATGTATCGTGTTTAATGAAGTCACGAAATAAATGGAGATGTATAGAAAAAGTAGTTGGAAAAAGTAAGAGTATTGTATAGTACTCCGTAATTTTCATGTGTTAAAGGAAATCTAAATTTAAATCAAGACTTGTTTTGAGATGTCAATTATAGAAAGTGGAATTTTAATTATGGGACAATGAGAATAAATAATCAGATAGTTCTTTTGCTTCTTTATTTGTACAATGTAATTATTTTTGGTTCTATATAAGTTTTGTATCCGTAAAATATTAATGCTTGAGTTAAATTTATTGTTTCATCATACCTTTCTATAAAGAGTAATGAAAGGTTTCTTAGACGAATTAAACTCGAGGTATCCCAAGTGTGACCTTGATTCTCCCTCGTCTTTTTTACACTATATTTGGTCAAACATGAAAAATTATTTTCATTCTTGAAATGGCCACTTAGAATACTTCAAGCATGATCCTCCTCCATAGATATCTCTACCTTCCTATTGGTTGTGATGGTGTCTTTCCCGCTATGAAATCCATTGTGAATGCAGACTTTCGCCCTTTTACCCTTAAATTTTATAAGATCACATGTTTCCCTATACGAAAAATCCGATCTTGTCTTGTTTTATTGTGTTTGTTGTCAAATTTGTCCTCTTTTGAATTCTATTACTCCTGGGTATATTTCTTGGTTGTTATGTGGAAGTTAATTAATAACCCATTCGAACAAGAGATTCTTCATTTGTTTTCTGTGTTGGGCATTCTGAATTTGTAATTCTTGATTATTATTATTTTTGAATGAAAATTCAACTTTCCTCAATAAAAAAGGAAAAAACAATCATTTTTATTATTATTTCTTGATTTTTTTCTATCAACCTGTGATCGTATGAAGACAACAGAGTACGGTATAATATAATGGATTCATTTTGTTTTCTATAATTTAAAGGCCTAAAAAAGAGTTGAAAGAATACACGGCTGTATATAAAATTCTCCATAATCTCCACTTGTCAAACCATCACGCCGTCCCACACCACGGCGGCAAACTCTGCCGGCGGCGAGATTCATCTCTCTCCATCATCCCAAGCCCAAACTCCCTCGAGCACTCCGGCAACTCCCCGAGATCGGCGAACAGCGACTCGTCCTCCCCGTCCTCCTCGCCCACCGGAAATATCAACGACGGCATGTCCTCGTCCGTGCAAGCAACCAGTTTGGCCTCTGCCAAAACAGAACACTCCTCCTCCGTCACGGCGGAGGCGGTCTGGTCGAAGTTCGAAAACCACCCGAACTCCTCCACGCCTCCTCCGCCGCCCAGATGGGAGGAAGACTGGCCACCGCGATCATCCGATTCCGCTTCTAGGGGTCGGGGGGAGAAGTCCGGATCACTTGCTTCTTTCCTCCCCTCCTCGGAGTCGGAAACGACCGCAGTTGCCTCTTTCCTCCCGTCCTTATTCGACCTCGACGAGGTCTTCGGCGTTACGGCCCCGGCCACTGCCGCTGCACTGGCCCGATGGATTCTTGCAGCGGCGGTGGTCGCGGGCCAGGAGTGATTGTGATCGCAAGAGTATGTCACCACCAGCATTTGTGGGTCCACACGGCTCCTCTCAACTTGTTTTTTAGCTGGACAACCTTTTGAGCTGCTGCATCTGTAATATCCTCTGCAGTTATTAGGATTATCCAAAGATCTTTAGAACATACACTTAAAAATCATTCCTTTAATCAATCAAGATTTCATTTTAGCACCCAAAAAAATCAAGATTTCATAGTGCCAAAAAAATAAACTAAACCATGAACTCAAGATACCATGACAAAGAAAAGGATCCAACCAAAAAACTCAAGCATGTAATTGTACCTAGGATAAGGAGAGCCTTTGATTGGTTTTTGACCATATTTCCTCCAAGCCCAAGAATCGGACGGCGGGAAACTGATCTCGTTCTTGATCTTGGATCCTTCGGCGTCGTTGATCGGCACCGACACTACCCTCTTCTGGACGGCACGACGTTTACTAAAAAAACAGAGCAATTAGCAAATATAATTACCCGACAAATTCGAATTAAGAACCCACAAAAATCGACCGAATTAGTTAAAAGGGAAGTGTGTGTGTGGGGGGGGGGATGTGTAATCTATAGCCAACCTTGGTTTAGAAGTGGCGGCGGCTTTGGCGTCGGAGTCGTCGGGGAGCACGGCGGACAACGGGGAGCCGCCGCTGTTCTCCGGCGAGTTCTCGGAGTCGAAATCGCGGTTCTTGGTGAATCTGGCGTCCATGGAGTTGGATCGAGATTGGAAGGAGAGAAATTGAAGAGGAGAAATGGGGAAAGATAAAAAATATAGATAGAGATTTTTAATAAGGGGGAGGGGGTCCGAATGATGAAGACAGAAGGGGGTAGAGAGATGTGTACAGTGTAGTTTATAGAGGTCGTGCGAGCAAAACGTTGAAATAATGCAAAACTAAATTATTACTTGCAATGTGAAAATGGCTTTAATGTTGGTCTATTTCAACCTTTTCCCCCCCTTAAGTCTATTGTTTTAAATTATTCCCATTTATTTGTTACATCAAAGTTTCCATTTTCATCTAGACTTTAAGCATTTTTTTACTTTCTCTTGCCTATTCCTTTTTACTTGTCCTTTTGACGTTGTTAGAGTATTTTTAACTTCCTTTTACACACACTAGTATTGTGGAAATGTGGAGCACTACGAGTAATATTTTGCTCTTCGTTGAGGGAGAAGAGGAGGGTAATGAGTACTATTTCACCGGAACTTTGGGGTAATAAAAATTAAGGGCTTGTACTAATGTACTCTAATAGAGATGACATTTTTTATGTAGAAAATTTTACTTCAATAATACTAAAATATACTCAACTCAGTAATAAATTTTCATGTATAGCACCACAAGTTTTAATTTCCGTAACTAGTATCTAACTAATTAGTTAATAATTAATTATTAATTTCAATGTACTAAAATACCCTTTATATGATTTTATTTTTACCGTCCCATCACTTCTTATTGTCCTTCGTCAGTCACCGATCACAAAATGTTGATTTTAATATCCCGTCGTCACTCTGTTAATGTCTATTATGTATGATTTAATGACTTCCATAGTTTCACTCTAATAATGTCCAATAATATTGTTGTTAATGTCTACATGTCCATTGCGAAGACATTGTCAGTTAAAAAAGACGTTGTCACAATTATAAATATCCACTGCATTAGCCATCAATGTTCCCGATCAGTAAGTAGAAGTCCATAACTCTTACAACGTCCCATGTTTGTAATTTTTACAATGTCCCAGATCAGTAAACAATATCTAAAAACTTTGCAATGTCCATCAAAAAGAAAATATAAGCAGACGAATCAAGGAAAGAAAAAATCGATCAAAGGGAGAAAAAGGTATATTCA